GCATGATTCCTGCCTTATGTGGGACTCAGGGTTCAGATCATCAAAGCAGCTGTGTTGGTTCCTGGAAAGACCCTTAAGTGGCCTTGCTTGGGTCACAGACCTGTCCCTGGAGCATCACAGCATCCAGAGAAATGACAGGCCCAGCCCGAGAGGCCACCGAGGTTTACCCGCCTCTGCTCAAGAAAGCTGGGCCATGTGTACAGGCCCAGTGAGGGGCGTTTTGTTCTGAGTCCAGCCAGGGTCTGCAGAAAAACAGCTGGGACGGTGCTTCCTGGCAGACTGTTAGGGTTCCTGAGGGTGCCCCCACCAGAGGCTGAGGGAAGAGACATCCCAAGTGGGAAACTTGCCAAGTCCATTGCCCTGTGGCTGTTTTGGGGACTCCATCAGCCACAGCCACTGAGCAACCAGGGAGGACAGCAGTGAGCTCCGGTCAACCCTCTCCATGGCCCCATGTGCGACAGGGTCAGAGGGCGCACGGGCTATGGGTAATAGGACGGACAAGGGTGGCCCACACAGTGTGTATAGAGTTTTCCTAGCCTCGGTCTGGCAGAGGAAGGGGAGGAAGGGATCCACCCCAAGCCGAGCGCTAAGAGCAGCTGGAATGCTCCCTGCTACCATCCACTACGCTGCCTTTCCTGGCCACCTCTACAGATGCCAGAGAATCCTCCATGCACACCACACAGCCCAGCACTCCTTGACAGGCTTGTGGCACTCAGAATTGTCCTGATTTGAGAGAGATGGACAGGGAGACTCACTCTGGCTGTCAGGCATGGCCTCTTCCATTAATTTCAATGTCAAAACACCCCAGGTGCAGGCAGAGGTTGGGTGGCAGCTCCTCGGAGCTAGGACCACCTCCTTGGCCCAAAGTGAGCTCTGATACTGCCAGCCCCAGGATGCTTAATGCACATTTGGACCTTGTCAGTTCCTAGGATTACGAGCTACCTGGAGCCAGCGTGTCACCCAGAAGTTGAGTGAGGGCAGGTGTCTGCTGCCCTGACAACCCCAGGGGTGGGGAAGTGCCAGTGGGTGTCCAGGGAGTGTCCCTACGAATGGGTGTAGCACCTCCCTTCTTCCTGGACCGAGGCACCACCACCTGCTAGTCACACCCCTGGCCCCTCCAGGTCTGGCTGGAAGCCCTTGCAGGAGGGCTCAGGTCCTTAGGCGGAGTTTAAAGGGGAAGGAATGTGCATCTGTGCAGTGTGGGATTGGGGCACAGCTCCCCGGGTCAAGGTTCCACAGTCCCTCTGTGCACAGAGAACATGGCAGGGGGGCACAGGCGTGGGCATTCCAGGTGAGCAGTCCTGGGGCACACAGGGTTTTGAGCCAAAGCAGGAGGACAGGGAGTTAGACCTGCAGTTGCTTCTGCCAGCGGTGGGTGTGTGGACCGGATCAGGAGAAGTCCTCCATCATGGCCAGGCCAGGGGAAGGGAGATGGATCCAGGGAGCAGAGCTTTTCAGGAAGGGACCTTCACCTACTCTCTTACCACGGACAGAGATGGATAATCTGTGGGCCATGCCAGGCAGCCGGAGAGGCCTTGGATAATGGCATTAGAGCCAGTAGCTCAGAGGAGGAAGGTAAGACCCAGAAGGGCACATTCCCTATGACCCCGGGTGAGCCAGCTAGCCTGGGCTGCCATGAGCTTTGCAGGACATCCGCAGAGAAGTGTGGGGCTCCCCGGAAAGGACAGGGACAGGGCTTCAGGTCCAGCCCACCAGCTGTTAGCAGAGTCAGGCCTGTTACATGGGGCAGTAGGATCCTACCTGAAGGCCAGGAGGGGACCTAAATTCTAAGGGGAAGTCCCAAGGCTTCCCCGAGCCGTGCGGTGTTTTCTTTTTGCCACCTGGCCACTGGGAAGCCTCCTCCCGGGGGTTCTTGGGAGAACCCCCAGCTCCTCAGACAGCCACTGCTGGGTCAGGAGCAGGGACAAGGGCAGGGATGAGGAGAAGGCAGGACCCTGGGGAGAAGACCTGCCAGGTGGGAATCCTCGCAGTTGTGGTGGCAGGCCCAGGGCTTGGGTGCTCAAGAACTTTGCTCTGTAAGCACTTGTTTGAATGAATTACCCGTGAACATGGGGCCTTAGTGGGCCTTTACTATGTGCCCAGGGCTGTCAGGGGTCAGGTGAGGACGAAGTGTCCACTGACTGTGCCTGAAGTGGCACCATACTTTGAAGGCAACCACAAGCAGCTGAGGAGACTTGAGCTGGCTGCATTGCAGCCCCAGAGAGGGTCTGTGAGGCTCTGCCCGGGCGCCTTGCAAGCCACAGCGGCCACACCGGGGTGCCTGTGGGCTGAAAGGCCCTAAGTGGTCTGTGCATGTCCAGTCTTTCACACATAGGGCGACCGTTAGTCCCACTTTCATCGGACCTGTGTGAGAATGGGCGTCCTGTGAGGCCCCCGTCTTGGGGAGTGGGGTTGGCCTTTTCTGCCTGGGACAGGACATGTGCCCCTCGAGGCTGGCTGTGAGCCAGGCGCTCGCCGGGTGCCCAAGTCTGGCTCTGCGCCCCGCCCCCGGGCTGCTCCTGCCCTCCTCGTCCTCCCCCACCCCACAGCCTCTCATGGCTGCTTTCTTTGTCCCGGCTACAGGCTGGTGGTTCGTGAGCACCTCTGAGGAACAGGGCTGGGTTCCTGCCACCTACCTGGAGGCTCAGAATGGCACTCGGGATGACTCAGACATCAGCACCTCCAAGAGCGGGGAAGGTAAGGTCTGTCACTTGGGGGTGCGGGTGGGGAGGTGAAGCTGGGCGGGCTCAACCCCTTCCAGAGGCAGCTCTCCCACTCTTCCGCCCCAAACCGCCTGGACCTCCCAAGAGAGTGGGCCCCGCTAGGCTCCTTTTGAGACCCCACCTCACTGAGGCTGACCCACAGCTCCCTGCCTCCACCCAGGCCCATCCAGCTGGCCCCAGCATGGGGCTGATACTTCTGCTCCTTGAAGTCTTGGCCGCTTCTCAGGGACCCCACAGCGACTGCCTTTCTCCTGGCCCCTACAGGGCTTCCCACAGTAAGGGCGCCCCCAGGAGGCTGTGTGCACACATGACTCAGCGGTTTGCATCCTGCTCCAAAGCCTGTGACCGGGTGGCACTCAGCCAGGTCTCAGGGATTGAGTGGCCCAGCCCGTCTGTGGGCTCCACTACCAGCTGCATGCTCCTCAGGCCTTCCGGCCTCCCAGACCTGGCACAGGGACTCCTCCCCTCACGGCCATGGGGACAGTCCAGGCGGGCCTGTCAGAACAGCTGATGGAGGTCCGCCACCAGGGCTCAGGCCACCTCTGGGCTGCTCCTCCACCCCTCTCCTGCTGCCCAGGCCAAAATAAGCAGCTCACTGGCACTAGCTCCTCAGTGGTCCTCCCTGAGTGCGGGTTACTTGGCTGGGGCTGGGTCCCACCCTTCCTCCTGGGCCCCGCCCTTCCTCCTGGGCCCCATTCCAAGCTGGGCCTCTGCCGTGCCCATCCGCCTGTGACAGACAGGTCTCCAGGGCCTGCACCTCACTGGAAGGGCTCAGGCCTGCAAGCCAGCCCTGCTGTGCTGCACCACACCCTGCCAAGGTAGAGGGTTGTGGCCCGGAGCTGCCTGGCTCTAGTTTCCCTGTGGTCCCGAGGCCTCACCTATCTAGGTCCACGTTCAGAGCCCAGGTGCTGGGCCAGGGCTTCCGATGCCCTCTCCACCACCCTGGGAGGACACTGCTTTTGTCCCTGCATTTCCTGCTGCAGGGCTGAGGCTTTGAGACAGGTAGTGCCTGTCCTCAACCGGCTTGCACCTCCCCACCTGCAGAGGCATCTGCTGGTCAGCTGTCAAGGTCACCTGGGGACCCACTTGAGGAGAAGGTGTGGCTGCAGAGGAAGGGCAGGGCAGAGGGCCAGGTAGACCTCGGGCTGTGGGCCCTAAAGCTGAGTGGTAGCAGGTGCAGAGGACCTCGATGGAGTGGAAGTCAGGCAGAACCAGGGGCTCAGGGGTGTGTGTACGCCCCCTCCACTGCTTCTGGTGGGACCTGGTGCCAGTGTCTGTGACCACACTGCCAATGTGGATTCCAGTACCAACTTAGGCATCTCCTGTCGGGATCCACGGAGGGCTCAGGGCTGGTACTCCAGACCCACGGCTCTGGCCATTGCACCGTGTTTACCACTCTCCGCTTTCAGCCACGTGGTCGGTGTGGTTGGGAGGATTCCTTGGCACCCTGGGCTTCTGTTTCCCCATCTGTATGGTGGAGCCAGAGTCAGCCACACAGGCCTTTCAGGAAGGTTAGGTGAGGTATTCTCTGAATGGTTCACACTGAACCAGGTGTGCAGGGAGAAAGGTCAGGTACCATGGTGGCGCCTGGGGGTCAGCATCCTACAGCTCTGTCTTCATAAGAAGCCAAGGTAGCCCTGACACCCAGCCCCACCGTCCCAGGCCCTTTCGGCCCTTGTCTCGGCCCCCACAAAGACAGGAAGTGTCACCCTGTGACAGATGGGGTCACGGGCCTTGCAGGGTGACAGTTTGCTAGTAGCGGGTGGCCTGAATGGCACCTCCTGGCCTGCTGTCCAGAAGGAGCGGGGCACATGGCCACTGTCCTCTCCGGTGAGCAGACACTTCCCAGAAGGCTAGGTGGGATTGGTCCAAGTGGGCCTGGGCAGTTTTACAGTCATTCTAACCATCAGCCTCTCTTTCCAGGCCCAGGCAGCTGGGCAGCCTCCTTTCTGCAGCTGTCACCTCAGAGTTCAGTGTCCTTTACCCCAAAGTCCCAAAGTGGGATAGCGGGGCATCCGAGCTGGGACCTAGGCATGGGGGTACTTGGGCCCATGGCAACCAGAGGACCTGGGCAGAGTCTGCCCCAGGGACACGGTCAAGGCAAGGGGTCTCAGGCAGTGGGAGGGTGGCGGGAAGGAGCCCTGTGGGGCTGTGGCATCTGCCTATGTTTCATTCAGCAACCCTGTCTGTGGCTAGTGCCAGGCAAAGTCCTGCTGTCCGCAGACCCCTTGCCCTAGTAGGAGTGGGTGGCAAAGCAAAGCTGTGAACCACCGGGTCAGGCAGCTCTGTGGCTTTGAGGAGAGACCGCTCGTGCCCTTCCCACGAGGTGCCTGGTGAATCACCCCGTGTCCCCAGAATGGGCCGATCCGGCGCTGGGGAAATGGTAACCTCCCCATCCCCTCAGGCCACAGTCAGGGACAGCCTCATACGGGGCTGGCATGGGGAGCACTCTGTGTGTAAGGGGCTGAGACCCTAAGTCCTTCGGTTCACCCATGCATGTGGGCCACAAGCTGAGCCTGGGATTTCCCTACATGCCAGCCATCTGCGCCTGTCCAGCGGGCGTGACCCTAGGCGCCCGGAGTGTGGCCGGTTCCCTCCCCGCCTCCCCGCTTCCTCTGCCCCTGCCCTCCATCTCATCCTCATCTCCATTCTCTCCCTGGTTCGGTTCGGTTTGGTTCGTGTCGGCCGCATGCTCATCACCATCTCCTGCGCCAGTGTCCAAGAGACGCAAGGCCTATCAGCGGCGCCTGGATCGCCGGTGGACCCTGGGCGGAATGGTCAACAGGCAGCACAGCCGAGGTGACCATGGGCGCCTGCTTCTTGCCCCTGCCACCTGTCTCCTGCTAACTCTCTGCTCTCTCTGCTCTCTGCCCGGGGCCTCTCGACTCACCCAGACGCGCTGCCAGGCCTTCCTGATGCCACTGGGAGTGGGGAGGGGGCCTTGCTTGGGAAGAGTAGGGTGGCAGCAGGGCGGCTCTAGCTTGCTCGTGTCCTGGGGCTGGGGGTCATGGGCCTTAGGACACCGAAAGGAAGGCAGTCTTGAGGTCAGGGAAGAGGGGATCTGGGTCTCTAAGGTGCACCATCTGCAGACCAGAGGGACCCAGGCCCTGTCCCTGTGAGGGTCCCACTGTCCTACCAACTGCTTGGGAACCGAGTAAAAAGAAGGAACCGCCCTGTCCTCCTTCAGCCAGCTGTTCTCAAACTAGGAAGGGCAGGCCCAGCCAGACCCAACCTGGCACCAGGACACAGCCCCAGCCTGCTCTGATAAGGGCTCGGGCCCAACCAGGCCCTGGTCTTTGGGGCTTGAGGAAGGGCTGAATCAGGAGGATTCCGGGGAGGTCACGGCTGAAGGCTGCTGCTGGAGCAGAGACCTTTGCTGGCCCAGAGGCTTCCCGCCATCCCGGAACTTGGCGGGTGAGGAGAGGCTTCTCATCGCACCCTCACCCTGGGTGTGGGCGGCCAGTTTCTCCTGTCCCACGTGTGCTCCCTGTGGTAAGGACACAGATGGAAGCAGCTTGTCATTTCCAAGAGGGGTGTTAGGGGACCCTGGGCTCGGATCACAGAGATCACCCCGCCCCCAGCTTGTTTCATTTCGGTGCCTGACGCAGCAGGAAGCCTGGACTCTTGGGTGGCCACAGGCTCAGTGCTGGCCAGGAGGAGCCCAGCCTGTCCTGCAGGGCAGAGGGCCAAGTTCTAGAAAGGGCCACGGGCCTCATGTAAAGCAGAGGCCGCCCCAAGCCAGAAGGGAAGAAGCAGCGTGGCTGGAAGGCTGGGCCGGGCTAGGACAAGGCCCTGCGCCTTGGGGGCAAAGGAGAGCAGGAATAGGCCCGGAGTCACTGGGCAGGGGCAGGGCTGGTCCCACCCACGTGCTGAGCCCCAGCGTGAGTCTGCCTCCTCGAGCACAGGCACAACCAGCGAAGTCCACGCCCATGCGTGCGCCTGCAGTGTCTGTCCTGTGCACACTGATCACAGACGCACACAGCCACGTGTAGGCCATGCCCTGGTATTCACAGTCAGAAGTGCATTATACACGCAACTCTTGTTCACATCTCTGCAGCCAACCCCTGCAAGTACACACACACACACACACACACACGACCCATCATGCTGCTTACCCATAGGCAGTGTTTTCACACACAAACACCCACCTACATGTGCAGTCCCACAGTCACCCCTACCTGAACATGCCCAAGCCCACCACAACTCCTCTGGCGCTTTCTCCCTGTTCAATAAGAGACCTGGACAGCAGTTCCTGCCTTGGCCTTAAGGGCTGTGTAAAGTCAGGCAGCCGTGAGGGGCGAGTGGCGTGCAGAGAGGTGGCTGAGGCCCCGTGTTGCACACAGCGGACCTAAGGGAATGGGCAGGGATCACCAAGTGCAGGACAAGAGAAGGCAGCGCTCCCTGGGGCCTCTACTCCAAAGCCCAGCCACCCAGGCCTTTGCAGTCAAAGGGTTCTGTCTGTCTCTGTCTCAGGAGGGTGAACTGTGGGGGCCGGGAAGGGAGTGGAGAGACTGCTGACAGAGGGGAAAGTGTTTGGAAAGAGGAGGTGCTGTGGTTTGGGACCAGACCAGGCTGTCTGCCCCCCACATCCAGCCCACAGCCACTGCCTGGCCAGCCCTCAGCAAGCAGGCAGGGGTGCTCGGGCCCCAGCACTTCTGAGAAGCCCCGAGAGGCCCGAGTCCATGGCTTCCTCTCAACTCTGTCCCCTGAGATCCTGGCCACCTGGGTGACAGCCTGAGCATTCTCCCACCTGGACCCCCCCGAGCCCCATGGCCCTGTGATCCTGTGGAGGGTCTGTCTCCGTTTGTCCCTCGGCCCACCTGGAGGCGGGAGGCCTGAGACCCATGTGGTTGTGTCCACAGCTTGACCATCAGAGCTAACCAGAGTAGGAAACCCAGTGCCCCGGAGAGAGGCATTCTGACTGTGCAGCCCTGCCAGGGTGCAGGGCCCTGAATTCTGCTTCCCTGGAACCCCACAGTGAGCACAGCAGGACAAACTTCCATGCCAGCCAGCACCCCAGAAACTTCCAGAGCACGTGGTCACCACAGCCCCAGGTCCCCCAGGAGTGGGGCCTTTGGCAGGAGTGTTCAGTTCTTCTGGCCCCGGCTCTGTCCTTACCAACCGGGAGGTCAGAGCAATGCTGCATGCCCCCGGAGAGCTCCTGCGGCCACGCCTGGTGGTGCCCACACTGGATGGTCCAGGCGCTGCTCGGGGCCATGGGGCAGGGCCCCTCTGATCTTCCCCCGGGAGGGCTGTCATTTTCCTCCACACAGCGACCTTGCCTGGAGAAACTGTAATGATGGCTTCCTGCTTGAACCACAGGCTTTTAAAAATAGTCCCGCTGAACAAAGGCAAAATGTGGACCACAAGCCTGGCTTTCCCGGGCCTGACGCTGCCCCTCTGGCCGCTGCTTGGGCCAGGCTTTGCCGAGCCCCACTGGAAAATGGAGCAGGACCAAGAGCAGGCGGGAGAGCGGAGGGCCAGCCTGGAGGAGTGCAGGACCTCCCCAAGACCAAGTCAGTCTGGCTGGGCAGGGTTGTCAGGCAGCCTGGCTGCTGTCCTGGGCAGGACTTCAGTGGACTCTGAATGAAGGCCCAGGAGGAACCCAGTCGGTGCCGAGAAAGGTTGGAGAGCGTGCTGCAGTTGGGGCCCCACTGGCCTCGCCTACCTCTTGCTGTTGGCACCATTTTAGATGGACCCGTGGCCCAGCAGTTCTGTCCCGAGGCCTGGCGGGACAGTAGCCTCCACCCGGAGCAAGCTGCTACCTCAGCCCAGCACAGGGAAGACAGTGCCTTAGTGACCCTGGGAGGATGGAGAGGTGGACCCCTCAGCAGGGGTGGGGTGGCAGCTGTCCCCGCCCCCACAGCCACAGGCCCTCATGTAGGCCACAGGCAGGGCCCTGCCTAGGAGCATAGGGTGACTGTCATTGGGAGCCGGGGGCACTGCTGAGACAGAGGCGCCCTCTGCTATTTTGAGCACTCAAGGAGCTTTCCACCTAGCCCTGCCTTCCTCTCCCCAGTTCCATCAGAGGCCTCCTAGGACCTAGGCCAGGAGGACAGCGAGTCTCCAGTGACCCTCCTGAGGGATTCCCAGATGGCACCTCTTTCCTGTCTCTTCTCTTTCTCCCAGAAGGGTGGGTGGGATGTGCTAGGGTGTCCTCGGCTGGCTGGATGTGGGTCCACCCACTGTGCTTCTCTAGGGCAGGAGGAGACCCCAATAGACATGGCAGCCTGAGCAGAGGGCCCAGAAGGAGCAGTAGGAAGCCAAGGAGATGCCCAGTACCCCAGCGTCCCATGCCTGCCCCCACACTCTTTCTGAGGTGCCTGGGGAAACTTCCACAAGACCCTGAAGTCATGGTGTAGAAAAAGCCTGTCTCAAAGGTTGGGGTACAGTTCAGTGGTAGAACATTTGCCTAGCATGCCCGAGGCCCTGGATTCATTCCCCAGTATTTCAAAAAATAAAACAAAAAGCCACAGGCAGCTGGCAACCAGCTGAGCACATGCAGCTCCAGCAGCTGTGGGGCACACATACCCCTGCAGGCTGTGAGGCCGCCCGGCCTGAGCCTGGGCAGCTCCACATGTGTGGCGGTGGGAACTTTATCTTCAGCACGCCTGCTGAGCTGGACGAGCAGACTGACAGGGCACCTCAGCCAGCAGCTGAGCAGGGCCAGCACCCCAGCCTCAAGTCATCTTGCTTTCTTGTCCCTGGCCACCAGAAGAGAAGTACGTCACCGTGCAGCCCTACGCCAGCCAAAGCAAGGACGAGATCGGCTTTGAGAAGGGCGTCACCGTGGAGGTGATCCGGAAGAACCTGGAGGGCTGGTGGTACATCAGGTAAGGGCCCTGGTAGCTACCTGGTGGCAGGGAGTTGATGACAGCAGGGCACCCGTCGCTGCACACTGAGCAGCTCAGCTCACAGGCGAGGTGCTGCCCCTTCTGGCATCTGCCAAAGTCCTGAGCGTCTAAATTGGGTTTCCATGGTCGGGGCCTGAGTGCTGGTGTCTGGCAGCCTTGCTGAGGTCCCAACCCAGTGCTCAGGGTCCCAGATGGGGCCCTGAAACCCACAACCCTAGGGCAGGTGGCCTGAGCCCAAGTCCAGCTTGGCACCAGAGATCCCTCTGGCCATGCCTGGTCACACTCGGGGTAACTGTGCTCATGCCCCAGCACACCTGCTTCCAGGAGTTGCTTTTGAGCTGTGAGGACTCTGCCTGGCCTCTCCGCCATGGGGGTTTCTGGGGACCCTGCCACAGCACGCAATCCCGCACCCACTGTGAGCGGTGCTCGTGTTCTGCGTTGTCTCACTGGAGGCCAGGCTTGCGCTGTGGCACCTCCATGGCCAGAGTGACCCAGTGTCGCGGGACAGCTGCTGTGAGCATGGCATGTTCTCTGAGCAGTGGCAACCGGGGCCAGACCAAAAGTGCAGCAGCCACACGCTGAGAGACACAGGCCGGCAAGCGCCCTGGCAGGCTGCGGCCTCGTTCGCCTGGCGGTCATCCACAGCGCTGACTGCTGTTCTGTTTTATTTCGATTTTTAGTTTTCTAAAATGATCAACAAAAGCAGACTGAGCTGCTCCAAGTCAGGTCCTGTCCCCGAGGCTGCTCCTCTTGCCAGCAGGAAGGAAGCTGACACAGTTCCACCTTAAGCAGGCCACCAGACACCTGTCACCTGTGCCACTTCCTGGCTCTTCGTCAATCTTCATTTCCTGTCTTTCCTCCCTCCCGCCCCTGGACACGCGCAGGCCCACACACACACATGCACGCGCACACAGAGCCCACCAGCCTGCTTCCCTCTGGAGTCTGGGCAGCGCTACAGGACTGGAACCCAGGTGCACAGCCATTCCTGGTGCCCTGTGCTTCTCTGCCTGCAGCCGAGCTTTGTCCCTGGGACACAGAGGAACAGAGGGCCATGAAGTAAGCCTATTGAGCAGTCCTTGCCATACCCCCGCAGATCCTCTCCCCAGAGCCACACCGCATTCACAGAGAAAGACAACGGCGAAGACCAGAGCAGTTATCTTCTTTTTCCAAGATTCAAGGATACTGGACTCTGGGCCAGGCACTGCCACAGCAGCTGTGGCCTCTGCTACTTGCTTTGCTTTCCAAGCCTTGGTTGTTGGCTCAGAGGGACGTTAGACACTGGTGGCTTCTGCTGCTGCTGCTTTTCCACCTCTCCTCCTCCTCCTCCTCCTCTTGTTGTTCTCCTTCCTCTTCATCTTTTTCTCCTCCTCTTCCTTCTCCTTTTTCCCCTTGAAATCTCATGGTCTGACTGCTTCAGCCTCCCAAGTGTTGGGATTACAGGTAGGCACCACCATGCCTACTTTTAGACGCTAGTTGCTTCCATCCAGCCCCGAAACTGAGCCTCTCTTTGTACCCGGTACATCCGGGAGCAATCCCAGCCCCAGCGTCCACCACTGTGTTCAGTTTGCCTTCTGGCCTGGGCAGGTGAGCCTGAGCAGACCACACACGCCTGTGGCACAGCTGTCAGCGTCACTTACCGAGCTTCCCAGCGAATTCAGACATGGTCAGAGGAATTTCAGCTTTCTTTCTGTTCTTGTACCTAACAGACTCCCGGAGAGCTGGGCCACTCTGGGGAGAGGGGACGTTGTCAGGCATCTGGCTGGAAAGAGTCATTCCAGAGACACAGATGTGTCCCAGGGTACAGACGGACATTGCAGGCCAGATGGAGGCACTGACCAGTAGTCGTTGGGTCAGGAAGTGAGCTCCAGTGCTTTGGGTGAAAGTTCACCATCATGGGGACAAAAGAGGGGGAAAAGCTTGTTTTACGAAGACATCACATCCCCACAATTAAACCAGCCCTATCCTTTGCTTTTGTTAACGAGCTTTTGGTTTTGTTTCGTTCTGTTTTGTGGTTTCAATTTCACCCTGTCATGAGCTTTTGTCTTGTCATTTATGGTTTCCGCTGCTAAGTCCCACTTAGAGTAGCTTTCTCAACCCCCAAGATCAGATAAACGTTCACGACTCATTTTGTAAATTTTACTCTGTGGTGCAAGGCCAGGTCTCCCGCACCAGATCATCAGCTGTCTTCAGATCACCTACTGAATGATAACTGGTCCTGGCCCTGCCAGCTTGGAATGTTACCTTTCGCCCCCTCGCAGACGTCCCTCTGCGGTCCCGCGGCGTCCCTCAGGCTTCTTCACACACCTCTTCCCGGTTGCTCTCCGCATGTCTGTAACACTTCTTTCTCCTGTAGGGCAGTGGCAGCAAGGATGTAACACGCGTGCCACAGCTGAGTGTGCATTACCATTGACAATCCCGGAAGCTTCGCCATCACTGCCGCAGGGCGCATAACCCCGTGCACTGCATCCTTCGCATTGCCATTTCTTTTCTCTAGAATTCCCCTCGGTTGGGTGCCAGGTCTCCAACAAAGCTGACAGAGAAGGCCGGCTGGGCAAGGCCAGATAGAGACCAGGGCCTAGGAGGAGAGAGCTCAAGCGTCAGACCTCTGACTTGGTGTGGCCCATCCTCCCACAGGTACCTGGGCAAAGAGGGCTGGGCGCCTGCCTCCTACCTGAAGAAGGCCAAGGATGACCTGCCAAGCCGGAAGAAGAACCTCGCCGGCCCAGTAGAGATCATCGGGAACATCATGGAGATAAGCAACCTGCTGAACAAGAAGGCATCTGGGGACAAGGAGACTCCACCCACTGAAGGCGAGGGCTCCGAGGCCCCCGTGGCCAAGAAGGAGATCAGCCTGCCTATCCTCTGCAACGCCTCCAACGGCAGTGCCCTGGGTGTTCCAGAGAGGACCATCTCCAGACTGGCCCAGGGCTCCCCGGCTGTGGCCAGGATTGCCCCGCAGAGGGCCCAGATCAGTAAGCCTTGCTAGCCCCTGGGTGCTCTTATGTTGTGGGCGTAGCTGTAAGGAAAGCCAGAGGGTGTGTGGGACCCCCACCATGTTTCCATCTGGAAGAACGTCTGGGCTCTGGCCTCTTTTTTCTCTCTCACTTTCCACCAGTTTCCTGGGCCTGAGAGACTAGGAATTGGAGGCAGTTTCACAGGGCTTTCCTCAAGGACTACAGACCTGGGCTCTCTGGCCCCTTCAGCCTCTGGCCCAGCAGGACCTTTGGTTGAGGGTAAACTGTCCACATTAAATTCCCACTTTGGGTTGTGTCCCGCCAATCTGACAATCTGGAAGAAAGTTCTTTTTTAGCCTAGCCTTGAACTTGGTTAAGTTGGCAACCTTTAGGCTGCCAATTGGGAACTCTTCAGCAGTCGCCTCTTGCTGGGGACGTAGGAGTGAGCAGGAAATAGACATACTCTGCTCCTAATTTTGGAAATTAGGTAAGCCTGTGGAGCTGTACCTTGAACGGTGCCCATCGTGTCTGAACTTCACTGTGCATGTACACAGGGCTTCCTGGATCCCCAAAACATAGCCTGGGAAGCCATAAAGGTCTGTGCTTCCTCTTGCCCACAGTGACTTGGGCATCGGTCCTTCATCCACGTGGTAGGTGTCACCTAGGGAAGCAGATGCAGGTCCCGTTGCTCGCTGTCAGGCTGAGATTTATGAAGCCATGTCTCTTTTAGGCTCCCCGAACCTCAGGACAAGACCTCCACCACGCAGAGAATCGAGCCTGGTATGTGCAGTGAGTTTCCTCTCCTCCCTCCCTGTGGATGCTCTGTGGCAGCCCCATCACTGGCTGCCTTGCCGCAGAGCAGTCGGCCCAGAGGCTTCTTGCTGTGGGACTAGGGGCAGAGGGAAGCTGTCAGGCTGGACCTTTCAGGGAGCCTGCGTGAAGGGCTCCATCTCAGCCAGCGCACTGGCAGGCTCAGACATCTGGACTGGCCGGCCAGAGGGTTTGGCAGGGTGTTGCCAGCAGCCGGAATCAGGGCTGCTATCCATGTGGCCTGGAAGCCTCTCAGCGTCTCCTCGCTGAGGAATGGCTGATGGACGGGAGGAGAGGGAAGACCAGTGAGCATCCTCCGGGGAAGAGGGTGAATCGAAAGGACCAGCTCACACCAAAGCTTAAAGACAGCTAATGCCCTTGGGGTCCCTGACTCTCATGGGTGGCATTTCCCTGTGACCAAGGGTGTCAGGCAGGCAGGTGTACGGTCAAAGTCTGTGGCCCATGAAGGCAGCATGCTGGTGGAGAGCTGTGTCCTGGGACCAAGGACCATCGTCAGAGGCAGCAAGGAGCAGAAGTAGGGTCAGAGCTTTGGGCCTGCTGGGCTGGATTCACATTCCACTTCTATGCATAGGAGCAGAGAGACCTTGAAAGTCACCAGTCCAGGCCAGAGGCGGCCCTCGGCGCACGGGACTTTTGAAGACTTGGCCCCTGGTTTAGATTCCAGACCTTCCTTTCCCTGGCCATCAGTCCCAGTGGAGTTTCTCTCTTTTCCCCTTGCACTATACAGTGAATCTTCTTTCCCTGCCTTCTCTCTCAGCCCCAGCTCATTATTTTCAGGCAGACTCAATTTGGGCAAACAAGACCCCTCCTTCCACACTGGCCAGGATGCCGAGGCAGGCTGCCGTGTCCGTGGGTGCTGTGAATCCCATGCGCGGCTGCAGAACCAGGTCCCAGCACAGGGAAAGTTGGCTGATTCCTACCCTGTGCTTCAAACCGGCTTCCTCCCACCCTCGCTCACTCTGATCTGGGGCGGTTCAGTCCTGACTGGCGGGATTAGGACATGCTGAGCCTTGGAGGGTAGGGGAGAACAGAAGTTTTGGGGGGGCCTTCTGCGTATTGACCTCTTCTTAATGGCCCTGATACTAGTTTCGGTTTACAGATGAGGAAACTGAGGCTCAGAGAGCTCAAGGGCCCAGGGCTGCACAGCTGGGAAAGGCTGGGGCTGGAACCCAGCAGGGTCTTCTGGGTCTTCCAGCACAGGATAGCTGCTTCCCCTCCCTCCTTTTTCTGTCTTCAGTTGCCTTTGTTTTCACCTCTTCTGTATGAGTGATATAAAGAGGGCGGCACCAAGCCCATTTTGGCCAGAGTGGAGACCTGTTGAAGCCACGGCCCACCAGGACTAGTTGTTCACTTGGTTCGCTGTTGGATGCCCAGCCTCGGTGCAGCATCCGGCATGTAGTACATGCACAGCAGTTAGGGCACAAATGACTAAGGCTCACAGATCAGGGGCTGAGACCAAATCCTAAGCATCCTAGAATGCCATGCTTAGAATTTGCTGCTCCTGCATCTAAACGGCACAGGCATAGTGGTACGAGCCTGTATCCCCAGCTATTTAGGAGGCTAAGGCAAAAGGATTGCAAGTTCAAGCCCAGCCTGTCTCAAAAAATAAAAAGTGCTGGCCATGTAGCTCAGTTGTAGAGCACCCCGGGTTCGGTGCCCAGCACCACAAAAAAATGAAAGGCATCTAGGACCTCAGTATGCTCTGCCTGTCCACAGAGACGAGGCATCCAGAATTCTGTTCAGGGCTCTCCTGTCCACTTGGCACCTCTGGGCACAGATAAGAAGCCTTCTCACCCGATCTCACTGCCCCTGTGCTCCTACCTCCCCCGCACAGGGATGGTGACTCCCTGGCCCTACCTCTCTGCCATGTGCCCCCCTGCAGGTGGCGGCTGTTAGCCCACAGGGCGATGCCCAGGCTGTTAAAACTTCTGTTTTTTAGTTTTAATTTTCAGGCCAGGTGCTGATCCTCGTGAGATGGGAGGCTGGAAATGCACCTGTTTACAATGAGCATTCCCATCACTTAGGCCAGACCACCTCAAAAGGATAGCCACCTGGGGTGTATGTACCCTGAGACTCCGGAGATAGAGGCCTGCTGGGTCTAGCTGGTAGGCAGCCCTTGGCCTCCTTGCTGACCAATCAGCTGGCTTTGCTCACCTGTTCCCTCTCCACCTTAGGGTTTCCAGCTGCCCAAGCCGCCAGAGCCCCCTTCTGTTGAGGTGGAGTACTACACCATCGCTGAGTTCCAGTCTTGCATCTCCGATGGGATCAGCTTTCGGGGTGGACAGAAGGCAGAGGTAAGCCTTGGGCCGAGGGCTATTTGCCTCGCTGTGGCCAAGGGCATGGCACTCCCTTACTTAGGTCTCTGCTTAGTCTTGATAGCAGTTTTTAGGAGGAGGGCAGGTGGGGATGGCACCAAAATCAGCCAACTATCTGGATTCTAGCAAGTACCACGGGCAACAAGAAGCCTACAAGAGCCAGCAGTGGGGCACCCAGGAGCAAAGGGCTGCTGTGGGGCACGACAAGCTCAGAGCGCAGTGGGTCGCTGTTACATTTCTGGGGACTAATCCCCAGGCTATATCCAGCCTGTTCTTTTGAGGCAGGGTCTTGCTGAGTCGAGAAGCTGGGCTCTAACTTGATCCTCCTGCCCCAGCCCCCAGAGTGCTGGGCTATAGGCCTGTGCCCCCACACCAGGGCTTCAGTGCTTTGAGTGCAGAGCTTCTCAGAGCCCAGAGTAGGAGGGTACCATGTCCCCACCAGGGCACGGATGAGTGGCCTTGCCCAGGCTGGTGTGAGCCCACCAGCCTCCTCCCCTGGGAGCTCTCGGGGGCAGGGCCCTGCAGAGTCCACACCGGGAAGTGCCATTGTTGGAAGAAGACTAAGCAGGAAGAGTAACACATGGGACCAGCATGGCCATGTCCTCAGCACAGGGCCCTGGCCCTGGAGTCGTCCCTTCTCCCTCACAGGCTCTGAGTGTCTGCAGAGCGGGCGAGAGGCCCAAGGCGCACTCCCCACGGGTCTAGCACTGATGCAGTTCTCAGCCTCCTCAGCCACAGGGGCACTGCTCCAGACCCAGGAGCACCCTCCTAACACTCGAACACTGGTGCCAAAGCCTGGCCTGCAAACTAAGCCAGGAGGCGATTGGGGAACGTAACTGAAAGTACTGTTACAGTTGTAACAATATACCCTAATAAGAACTGCTTATTTCTGGAGTTTTTCCTATTAGTATTTTTGTTCTGCAGTTGACTGTGTTAAACTGAAGTCACAGAAAGCAAATGTTGGATAAGAACTCACTGCTATATTTTGTGTCCTGTACAGAACATATTCTAGGGGACAGAGGAGATCTGTGACTCGGTCATTTTTCTTGAGTGGCTTTTTAAATCTGAGTCATACACAGGACACTGTTGCGTTCACTGCAGCCTCTGTCCACTGAAGAGGGGACGTCCCTGTCCTGGACATTTTCAGTCACATGTCTGGAACTTAGAGCTTCGGTTCCAGGAGAAGTCATTTTTTTCCAAGAGACTTAGGTTTCCAAAAGGCCTGCAGGCTTCGTACCAGGGACCAACCTGAGCCTGGCTGTTGGGCACAGACTGGGCCAGGATGGAGAAGGGCGAGGACAGAGCTTGCCTTGGCACTTCGCCCTTCCTCCAGCATCACCCTATGGTAGCAGTGTTTCCACGCCCTCCCTGCAGGGTCTCCCCCAGACCTCCTCCTCCGGGAATGTCCTGCAGTCCCAACTTGCCTTCCTTTGTGTTCCCAGGCCTAATGAACCTCACAACGAGCACCCACACTCCTGCCCAGTTGCCCATCTCAGGTACAAGTCAAAGAGGAAGCTCCTTGAACCAGCTTAGACTCTGTAGGGTTGACCAAAAGCCCTCACCCTTTCTGTAGGAAACTGTTCAACGCAAACAAATCTCTTCTGCTGATGAGATTTCGTTTCCACAGACAGTGAAATCTCCCAGGCAGTGGATGCTGGGGGCCTGGGCCTCAGGACTGTACTCACCTGAGAGACCTTGCTGAGGGGTTTCAGGGAGGACCCAGCTGTGCTGGAGGCAGGAGGGCAGGGTGCTGGAATGGCAGCTCCTCCCACAGCTGGATTGGGGTAAAGGGCTGGGGGCAGTGGCAGCTGAGGGAAGGCAGAGGTCTGCTTGACCAGGTGTTGGCAGAGACTTAGAGGATCAGGGCCAGGGACTTGGAAAGTGAGGGCCTCTACCCACAAGATGCTGCAGACCTGGCCTGAATTCTGGTCCATCCTTTACGACCCTGGGTCTTGAGCTGCTTGCCCATGTGTGCAGTTTCTCATCTGTAAAATCGAGGTAATGTAGCCCGCAGCCAGATAGGAAGCTCTTCTTCCTCCGGGACCTCACAGGGTCTCAGAGACCCCCCAGCTCACCGCCCATCTGCCCTCTCCCAGGTAATCGACAAGAACTCTGGAGGCTGGTGGTACGTGCAGATTGGGGAGAAGGAGGGCTGGGCCCCAGCCTCCTACATCGATAAGCGCAAGAAGCCCAACCTCAACCGTCGCACGAGCACGCTGACCCGGCCCAAGGTCCCTCCGCCAGCGCCCCCCAGCAAGCCCAAGGAGGGTGGGGAGGCCCCTGTGGGAGCCGGCGACAGCCAAGAGTCCCCGCTGAAGCTCAGGTATGAGGAGCCTGAGTATGACATCCCTGCTTTGGGCTTCGACTCGGAGCCAGAGCCGAGCGAGGAGCCCGCGGAGGACAGAGGCCTTGGGGACCGGCCGCCTGCCCAGCCCCACAGGCCCTCGCCCGCCTCGTCCCTGCAGCGAGCCCACTTCAAGGTGGGCGAGTCCTCGGAGGATGTGGCGCTGGAGGAGGAGACCATCTACGAGAACGAGGGCTTCCGGCAGTACGCAGAGGACGCCCTGTCAGCCAGGGGCTCCTGCGGTGGCGACAGTGACTCCCCAGGGGGCTCCTCCCTGTCGCTGGCCAGGAAAAACTCCCCCAAGTCGGCCTCGCTCCTGAAGCTCCGGGCTGAGAAGAACGCCCAGGCCGACCTGGGGAAGAGCCACTCCTCGGCCTCCTCTTCCTCATCCGTCACCCTCAACACCACCTGCTCCTCGTCCTCTTCCTCCTCGTCTTCCTCCCTGTCCAAGGGCAGTGGCGACCTGAAGCCCCGCTCGGCCTCGGATGCAGGCGTCCGCGGCGCGCCCAGGGCC